GGAACCATCCCAAGTTCCAACAGAATACCACCTGATGGGCTACAAGAAGGAAATAACCTCTGCAGAGTATACCATGGCTGTACACCATGTACGTATAGGATACACCAACGATAACCTGGGCTTGCCACCGGACGTGGATGCCTGTGATTTGGTGTGATTGGTGACGAAACGGATGAGTCTTCTTCCCTACCAGGAACTCCCAAGAGCTACTTGGTGACAAGATTTAGTCAACCACACTTTGCCACACCTTGCAGTAGGGTGAGAACCACCACTTACAGTACGTAGGTGCGGGTGTCTTGGTACTTGGGCCAACTAGACCCATCTTGGAAAACCAAGGCTCACGGAGAGCAAAACCATCTTGGAAGCCCATCTGCCGGCAACTCACACGCGCATCCAAATGGTCGAAGGATTCACGGCAGACTTGACCCCAAACACCATCCTGTCGATGCGCCAGAGAGGTGGGATTGCCCCTGCAGAGACCTGTCAGAGGAAGCTGAGTTAAGCTTTCTTCTGATGTGTAGAGTGGAGGGTGGCATGTCCCTCGACATGTCCTTTCATATGGATGGTCTCCCGAAGGATGTGGCGAAAAAGGTGCAAACGTCCGATATGTTGCTAGTGAGGTGGATGTGAAGGACAAGGAGCGAATCCAAGCTCCCCTTTGGAGTAGTTTTCTGATCTATTGCATACTGTTGTACTGCACCCATTGATTCCCATGTATACTGGATGAGAGCTTGACAAATATATAATCCAGTGGTGTTCACTTGAAAAAAACATTGCGGACCATCCGACCGCGCCTCAACACCCCTAGTATGATACCTGATATAATCAAAACAATGGATGGTTGTCAACCGTAGTCTTGACCAAATGGAACACAAACATTCTTTGCATTGCACCTTTCTATAGGGTTTGGAAGATGAATTTCCAGCAGGGTTCGCCCACAGGTTTCTACTTCCAGCTGAGGGTGTTCTTTCACCGAGTAGAATCTGAGTTGGGCGTATTTTATCGGGCAGCACTATCATGTAAACGTTTTGGGGTTTTCCCTTCCAACCACTTGGGAAGCTTAGCATACTTTTGGTGTTTGATCGTCGCAACTGAAGCCAACAAATCATAACTATATACCAGCAGTCACAAAGGGGTGCTTAATGGAGGTTAGGTGTGCCCATTATCCACTCACTTGGGGACCAAACACCACCCCTTTGTGACTCCTGGTATATATATATAAATCTTGATGATCTTGATGCCTCCAGATCCGGACTCGGTTTTCCCTCGTGGAACATCCGACCTTGGCCCCAAGCCGGGGAACCTGCCCGAAGGCCCTCTGCCCACCCCATGCTCCGCCTTCTTCACCTCCAGTCGACCCCAGCGGCCGTTGCAATACCTGGCGGAGGCGCCGCTCGCGGGCGGAGGATCTGAAGATCCAACCGATCGGCTCTTTCGATCCAACCTTTGGTGCCTTGAGTTCTTTTTGCCCAAAGAATCAGGGTGTCCCCAACATCTGGGATCCTTCCTTCCTTTCATAATTCCTTCCATCAGCACCACCCCAAAAAAAACAGAAGAAGGCGCTACCGATGTGGGGTCTTTGGACTGGGGCGTGTGCGTGTCTGCATGCAGCTGAAGCCGCCAGTCGGGCATCGCGGCGCTGCCCTCCACCAGCATCACCTCCGTGCTCGCGGGCGTCACCTCGGCGCTTTCGGCGAGGCTCCCCGGTGGGGCGACCGATGTCTCAGGCACCATCACTGCCATGTAGTATAAACGTGTATCATTAAGACACATAATGAAGCAGACACATGAAGCAGCAGACAAGGTAAGTAAGAAAAGATTACTTGGTAGCAGCCCGTCGTTGGACCAAAAGCATGACCCTGACCGCCGACCCGTCCGGTTCGATCTCCACCGTCCTTGACCGCCACGGCACGGGCGAAGTGCTGCAGGTGAAGGTTGAAAACCGCTGGCAGTGCGCTGGCAGCGTCACCGTCGTGGTCGTGGTGGTCGTGCCGCTCGTGGTCGTGGTGCTTGCAGTGGTGGTTGTAGTGGTCCTCAGAGGGCTGTAGTATGACATAGACTGCCCTACAGTCCCTGCAGGTCAAGGAAGGTCAGCTTGACCTCATTTTACTGGAGTTGATCATATTTATTGTAAAAAAAAAACACTACTCAATGAGGTGTTCAGGACCAGCTTTCGCATGGTTTCGCTGGGTCAGACTGGACCTTTTTGGGGGCATCACCGACGAACAGCAGCAAAATCCACGAACACCGACGTGGTCCTCATACCACGGTCAACATCGTGGGGATCCCTATGACACACTCGAGTTCTATGACGGTCGGAACTCGAGCGTGTCGTCCAGTCGAGCTATGGATCGTGGGGTCACACATCCAGGGGGCCAACGGAGGACAGCTGTTCAGGCACGAAGCAGTATACGCTAAGCACTCCACGTGAACGTCTCCACGTTCGCTCGGCAAGGAGGGTTCACCCACGGTCCAACCGGGAGTTTCATGGCTTTTCCTTCTGCTTGTTGTTGTTTGCTTTAATTGTTTTTGTGTGTGTGTGTGTTTCTTTATGTGTTCTTGTTTGTGTGTGTGTTTTTTCATTTGTTTACGTCCTATTCTGTAAAGTTTGCTAGTGACTCAGTGGACATCTGAGGATTGGTGCAGGATTGGATTTGATCCTTGTACTTGTGCTTATTGACTTGATTTTGGCTCTGCAGCCTCTGTAGCCGAACATGTGACCTCCGACCTTTGAAGTATTCAGCGGAAACCGATCTTGACTCCAGCTGTCGATCCAGTTCCGGATGGAAAAACGCCCTGTAAAATCTCTGGGGAATAGAAAAACCCTCCTGTTTGACAATCCCTTCCCTGACCTAGAGGAACTTTGCTACCAACTCAATACCACTCCATGCTACTCCGAGGCACGGAAGGAGCGTGGTGCTGGCTATGCTGGAGGTCCCTTGCGGCGGCAGTTTGTTGGGTGAGTAAGTATTCTGCACTCATCGATAGACTATAGATGGATCCCATCTTGGCACCCATATCGAAGACATTCAAAGATCAAATTCCCAGGGCCCGATCAGTGTTGGCAGAGTCCAACAGCATCAACAGGTGGAATGCAGGGACTGCTCCAAATGCACCGTCCATCAACCAGCCATAACCAGAGCAAGATGTTTGGAGCTCCGGTTCCTGGTCCAAATTGCCCAAACTGCAAAACGACGTCAACTTCATGCAACTTCTCAACCCACCGAAGGTTGCTGCAGACTTGCAGCTACAAATGCCTTCCGAAACTTTGCCCCAAAAAGAAAAACGTTCAGGTTTCAATTATATCAACGTTGAAGACGCCCTTAGGGAACTATGGCAGCCCTCCTATAACAATTTGCAGGACGAAACACGCGGTAGCCTGACAAAAGCAATGAGTTGGTAGTACAGTAACTGCTCTACTTGATAATCAGTTGACAGTGGACAGTAGCTGTTATCTCTATATATATAGACTGATGAATCGCAGCTGGCAAATGAATGCATTTGACTGATAGTTGATAGTTGCGGAGACATCTCCAACTCACCATGACAATATCTCGTTGGCTCCGAGCCGCCCGTGGTGCTCGCCGGCGGCCCATCGGCACCCACTTCCAGCAGCAGAGTGAGCAGCAGCCATCGGAACATGGCCATTGCCAAATTGTACAACTTAATTAATTGTCCAAGAAGTCTTTCACACGCACTTGGAAGGGTCTATAGTCTATATATGTCTTTCACACGTGATGTGCCCCCCAAACAACTCCACCACACGCCCAGATGGCTCCTCTGTAGAAGAGCAAGGATCCAAGGGATGTCTTCATGTGTGTGTTTTCGTTTGGGACCATCGGGGGGGGCGGGTCCATCCCAAATATCTTCCAAGTTCAGGTGGTTGATGACCCATATGACCCAGTCCGAGCGCAAGGACCCGGTCCTCGGTCCACGGTCCACCCCGTCCGGACCGGTCTTCGGGGAGAACACCACGTCCCAGAGTGACACTGGGATTGGATGATGGGAAACACCTCAAGCTCCCGGTCCATCCGTGAAATCTACCTTTCTGAAAACCAGGTGGGTCAGAAGGGTCGGGCCGCTCCTAAGTACCTGTACGTTTGCACGCGTTTGCTACTCGACGGCGGAGGCCAAACGAAAACCTGATGACGTGAAGAAATGTCCTGAAATTCCCGTGATGACGTGCTTGAGCTTGAGAAGTCTGAGATGTCTGCGGCGTTCAGTCTGCGAATCACGTCAGGCACGACCAGGAGAGAACACTGGGGGGGGGGGGTCAATGTGGCATGCAAAAATGCATCCCCACGAGGATGCATTATGTCCAAGGTAAGCGGGTCCTTCTATGTCTTCCTCACCTGGAGAAGTCATGTCAGACATATTCGTGTCCATTCTTCGCTGTCCCCGGTCTAAAAACAAGAGGTTCTACCCCTAACCCCGTGATGTTTGACATCACCAGAACCCTCGATATACCTTGCTACATCTCAATCTCAGAAACCGGGCCCCGAACCTGCCAGTGGATCAGGCTTCGAGTCCAGAGCTGGGTCCTAAGGATTCCTAGAATGAGAAAGTGGGGGGCGTCTCCTTTCCTGCACCGTTTGAACCCCAAAAACCTTCGCTCCTTCACTCGGCTCGGGACTCGGCATCCTCGCTCCAGAACGGCCGAGTTCGGCCCCCTCGGCGGAGCGAAGTCCGAGGCGGTCAGGTTTCGGTAAGAGCTGGAGCGACCGAATGGAGTCATTTTGCAAGTCATTCACATTCCATCTCAGGAATGTGTTCAAATCCCAATTCATCAGACTTCCTCTCCAGTTGAAAATGGAAACACATGGAAACACGAGGGAACGATGAGAGACCCCATGTGAAACGCATTCAAATCCCCTACCTGCTCCACACAAGGTGCGAAATCGCTTTTTCCTTGCTCCACGAACGACGTCCTGTGCCGTTGCACGGGACGGAAACCCGGGGGGACAGCAGAAGCATGACGGGTCTCTGCACAGCAAGCATCATCAGCGCCAGCCTCGGGGCGGTTGCGGGGCGGCGTGAGGGGGACCAGCTATGAGGGGTCTGGGAAAGTGGTGATGTTGAGAGCATCTAAAGGGGCGACTCTTCTGAACTCGACTTCTGACGATTCAACGTTTACTTTGGAGGATGTTCCGTCCCCATCCAACCGGGGATGCTGATCTCCAAAATGATCCAATTGAATTGGCAAAATGAAGAACAGTTCAGGGCAAATATGACTGGGTCATGGCATAAGGATACCTTGGTTGACATAGCTGGGCTCGGTGAAGCTTTGGAGCTCCAGGTTTTGGCGTATCCCCATCATAGACGAGGGACGAGTAGGATTGATTGACGACTAGTAAATCAACGGTTGCTACAACTAAATGCGCGGACTTTTTCACTACCTCTGGGGGGGAGTGGCCCGGGGCCCGTAGCCCGGCCTCCACATCTATATTTCAATGGCACAACCGCACCCTTTGGAACTACCTCATGGCCGGGGTCGATCAAGTCAAGCCGACCTGATCCCGGGATGCCAGGCACAGCGGAGACCCCATAGACCAAGAGAAAGCATAGAACCACAGAGGTCAGGGACATTGGCAACCTGAGCCGGCTGGCAGGCTGGAGGCACGGCCGGCTGGCTGGAGGCGAAAAGTCGGAGATTGGAGATAATTCGGACCTTCAGATGTCGTGCCTTTCCTCACCATCCACAGCACGACCGACCGCTGTCGGGTGACCGCTGCCGCTGCGACAGCGTCACGTCCCCGACCGCTGTCGGCGACGCTGTCGTCGGGTCAGAGGGATGTCAGAGGGGTCGACCGTGGTGCCTTTGTTGATCCACCAGTCTTCCATCCACTTGTCAACAGGTCCATGAAACAGCGAACACTAAAACACCATCAACGTGAATAAGAAACCACATGAATGGAAACCAAAGGTCACTGCACCTCTCCTGAAGGATCTGAAGGAGCCGGCGACCCGCTGGCGCGCTGGCGCGCCCGCCCACCGAGACGCCCACCTCCCCCAGCTGACCCCGCCGGGGGCTCCGACGGATCCTCTAAGATGTAGCCACCCAAGGCATGGAAGACGAAGAGGTTGGAGACGTTGACTCCCAAGGAGAGCTTCGACCTTGGTGGACGGGCGGACGAGATCAGGATGGAGATCATCCCAGTCTCCAATGGCCCACAAAACTGGCTGTGTGAACCCGCGCGACTGTCAGGGTGTGCAAAGGAGATCCAGAAGTAGGAGCTTCCAGCCAGATTAAATTAGCTGACCCTTTGGAAGGTGCTGAGATATGATCTTTGGGAATGGAACTCAGGCCCGTATTTCGGGATACCGCAGGTACCGCAGTGCAAGGTTCACACCAGAACGCCAAACGAGCAGAGCGGTCTAGCTATGTCATAGGTCCTCCAAAGCGAGTTGCAATCTACTAAAGAGTTCGCATATGTGTTTATTGGTAATTATATATATATGACTTCACAAAATGTCTTTGACTTATCTGTACTAGCTTTTATGAAACCAATGTCCGGTACCAGTCGACCACTTCTTGAATCATCCAGGATTTCAGAATCCCATCAAAGCCCGCTGCTTCGGAACCCGCATTGGATGCGCGCATGCCAAAACGCATCCAGCGCAAACTGGACGAGGACGAGGACGGTGAAGGACGGAGTAGAAGGAGGAGACCAAGGACCTCAGGCAGAGGCAAATGCCACTGGGAGACGACGTGGTCTCAGATCGTCAGGGTTCCGTGAGGTCCCCAAAATTCTTGGCCCCTGATGGCCCCAAAACGCGGGTGAGAAGAGATCAGAATAGCCAGGCCAGTTGGATTTACGATGTTCGATCATGTTTGATCCATACCCCCCAAGATTGAAGGCAAGAGTTGCGGGTATGGCGAAGCGAAGCCACGTTTACAATAATAGCTACTGTACAGCCAGTTACCGCTAATTATTCCATTGCCTTTCTGCTAAGACTGTTAAGAAGAACCGAGTCACTGTGTTCGGGTCTTATTTTAAAGCCACGTGAAGCCACAAAAGCCTCGCCGGAAAAAGGCGGCTGAGTGGCAAAGCACAGTTCCGCCACCTGCATGAGCGGGAGATGTGGGAAGCGACCCATTGGCTTTACCATGGTTTACCTGGATCTCCAATTTCAAGCGTAGAAAATTGTGCACGGTACTTGGAGCGTTCAGGTGAGGACGAGTTTGGATGACCAATTCTTGAGTCTGGAAGTCACATGATCTGCTGGGTGATGGATGATGGTGATGCTGGCAAAACTTGAGGGTGGTGGGAATGGCGATGTTGATGTTGCTGCATGATGATGATAATGATGATGATGATGATGAGGAGGAGGAGGAGGACGACGACGACGATGATTACCATGTGAAAATGAGTGTGATACCCACTTCCTGCTACGAAACCTCAATGAGGAAACAGTGGGCAGGTCACAGTTCAAAATCTTCTCTCAGGCTCAAAAGAAACGGAACGATTCGGCCGGAAAGCTGGCTGATGCAAAATACATTCTCACCTGACTTGACTCTAAAAAACTCTCAATGTTTACAGTATCTGCTGAATGCGACGACGGTTTCAAGCATAAAAATGTTGCGTGTTCAGTTATGACTAGCAAATCCAACTCACTCGCAGCAGATATCGACAGGGTCCGCCGAAAAAAGAAACGGCGCCTGGAATGCCACTGCTCTCTGCAAGGGCTTCAGGAGAAGTTGCTGGTGCCAGCCGAAGAGGAAAAGGTCCTGTCAGGATTCTTCGGGCGGTTCAATATCGCCGGTCAGACGCCTAGTCATCTGATATCCTATGAATACCTCTCACTCATCCATCCGAGAAAGAACGCCTTTCTTCCCCAGATCGGAGACGCGAAGAAATCACCACCAAGCATTGGTATAAGGCCGATGTTGCACCCAACATCGGTCGCCTGAGAGGGCATGCAACACCCGAAAGGTCGCCTCAGGAGCTTTGCACATCAGGATCATCGACATGCTGTTGGGAACGAAGAAAGACATGCTGAAAATGCTTCTGGCTTTTCATGTCTTTCTTCATCTTGGATCGCACATCAGATGAATCCAATTTCATTCATTTTCCACACCGTGGGCCCCAGTCCACGTCTGCCTTCGTCCACGTCTGCATGGCCCTTCCTTCCGTTCCACCGAAACAGAGGGACCGTCCGTTCCACCACCCACCCGTCGGCTCCTGAGTGCAGGAGCCAGCGACCAGGCAGAAACCGAAGAAGTCCGAGGCAAAACCTGCAGGTTTCTGCGGAAGGTGGGAAGGATTCGAGGCGGACGGCGGAGGCTTTTACGGCTGTTTCGGAGGAGGCGGACGTAGTAGTTGGAGGCGGGTGGGGGGGGCATGATCTGGAAATAGAAAGCCAGCTCACAAGAGGACTGAGGGATACTGAGGGATCTGGAATGATCATTAAATGTCATTGAATTTAGACTTGATCTGGAATCTGAAGGTTCAGTTTGGAATAGTTATACAAGCCAGCCCAGAAAAAAACGACTGACTTGTCCTTCCCAAAACCCTCCACGTTGCCGGCAGGTCAAGCACCGCACCGCATCGCGTTCCGACTCGCGCTCTCGCGCTCCCCACGCGCGCCTCGCGGCGTCGGCGCGGTGAGGCCGCCGCGCAGGCCGCAGCCCAGGGTGGCCAGAGCCGAGGGCAGGAGCATGCGAAAGCGATGAGAATAGGCGAAGGCCTAGAATAGCCAGAGATGCTGTGGTCTTTTACACCAGTACGTGGTAGGGATGTATCCAATGTGTCTTCTCCGGAATCTTCTAGAATCACTGCCTCTTGGAAGACTAGGTTTCCTCTCTGAGTTAGCGTCATTAGTCTCTGTATTCTACATAATGGAGCAAAATGATGGAAATGTTGGCTGATGGCACAGTGCCAGTGTTGGAAAAATAACGACAAACCAACAAAAAAGACACCAAGAAAATCCAAGAAACCAATGATGGTCGTTTCAGTCAAAGCACGTCGATAATATCTTGGTCTCGAAGAGACTTTGACATGTTTTGACTGCCGCTGCCCACCCAGAACGACCTGGTTTCAGTTATGCTTCCTGGCACATTCTATGATCCATCTATCTCCCATATATCCTCTTCCCCAATCCTTCAAGAACATTCCACCACGTGGACCCCTCCATGTGCAAACCCGCGCCCAAAGCGCCCGAAACGCGCCGCGCCCGAACCCAGTGGCCCAGTGGCCCAGTCGTGCTCCTCCAGGGAGATGGCACGGAAGCGCACCACGATCGCCAGCAGCCACAAGAGCCAGGCCAACGAAGTGCCACGGGCGCCACGGGGCGTGCCACAGGTGCTGGCCTTCGACGGATTTTCTGGGTGCAGAGAGTAGATAAATGATGAAGGAGTGATGAAACATGAACATGATGATACACTCCAGGTCCATGTATGGCATATTGACATACATCAAATGGAGAGCTTCAGGGGGGTCATGTATGTAAATATGCCTGTGCCGTACATGGAGCGTCTGGGTGATGCAACTAGCGATGTGTTGGAGTTGAGGGATCTGATGAGTCTAGTTCACAGAGCATGGGGGCTACTTCCGGTGGGTTCCGGCCTCTTTAAAGGGATATATCCAAAACCGTATGTGTCTACCCAAGCCCATGTTTTCGGGTGCGGTTCCAGAGATGGTGGGCTTCGCCAGGGACAGTGATCCTGTGATGATAGTAGCACTTGAGACATCAAGCCTGGTCCTTCACCAATCTATTCAATACACGCAGCCGTGGCCCCTTCGCTCGGGCGAACCGGCGAGATCCTGCGGGCCCCACCGGGCATTTTGCCGAGGTCCGATTCGCGCGGCGCGGTCTCGACCGTCCGTCCGTCGTTCGTCTGACGTCGTTCGCGTCGTTGGGGTTCTTCCTCTGACGTCGCTTCGCTTCGCTGCTCTTCTCGACGACCCAGGCCATCAGGAGCACCGCGAGATCCAGCAGGAACTGACTTTCGAAAATATCCTCCGCTGCACCGTGACTGTCGCACCACGTCAGAGGACTCCCGTTGGAGGAGTGCCGTGGAGGACGAGGAGGCAACATGAGATGTAGAGAGTCCCAGACTCAAGATGATTGAACACTTAATGTCTTAAGCTCAAGGAATAGCTCAATGAGGAAAATCATCTCCTAGACTCAGATTGAACATGGTTGAACCTCAAAACTCTTGTGTTTGGAGTGCCAATCGGTTTTGACACGCTACTACATGGTGTTGTTCTGCTTTTCGGTGTTTGGCTAGAACAATCAAAAACGATCAAGTATGTAAAACGAATCCTTTAAATGCATTATGCAGAAACCGGAAATGAGCTCGAGACGCCCAAATCTTGAAAAACACTGCGTAGGACGAAACACCATCATGCAAACAACTTAGAAATACAAACGCCGTCCTGTAAAACCACCTGAAACGATCATCCAAAAATCTCAAGGGACGCCATGGGACCTTGCAATGGTCCATGGTCGCACCTTTGGTTTTTATCAAAGGTGACCAGCTCAGCTCACAGGTTTTGGATGATTTTACCTCTTTTGATCGATCCCAAAGAAACGAGGAGATGTTGGTAGGCGCTCGGAGCACCTAGGCGCTTGGAGCACCAGGCATTAGATACTCATGACTTCATATGACTTCATTATGTAGGACAGCTCGATCTTGCGTGATCAGACTACAACAAACCGCGGTTTTCTCCCACCTGTCCCCCACCTGTGGGCCAACTAGGCTGAAAAATGGTGGACGGGTCTACGATGCCCCGGGGCACCGGAAGAAGGGTCGCCCACCCTGAGCGTCAACGACCAGCGATGACCCCATTCGACGACCCCCCTTCACCCACCCCACACGCAAAGGGCGAAGGGAGCTCTGAGAGCACTGCCAAGCGGCTGAGTTGTGGCAAGGTGAGTTCCGCCCTGTGACCACCTGTGCACGGGTCATGAAGGGGCATGCACCATCTACTGAGCTTGTCTTTTGGAAGGATGAAGATCCTTGGCCATTCTGCGACAACTCATGAATCCATCCAAACATGACCCAAGATCGGGTAGGAAAGCAACAAACAATCTTCACTGGCAAGTTCTACTTCACACCAACCCCCACAAATGCTCCCTCCCCCAAAGTCCACACCCCCCAGGATCCCCTCAACTCCTGAAAAACCCCACCGGGTGGAACCGACGAAAAAAATAAAAACATCAATTAAGGAATCCCTCATAGCCGGTCAAGCCAGAGGTTGCGGTTGAAGGATGTTGAAGGATGTTGAAGGGGCCTTTTTTTCTGGCCCGTCTAGACTTAGAATAGACTCTCCGACGATCCCCTCTTTTCTCAGGTGCCCCATGGTGACGGGTCCTTTGTCACGTCTCTTCTTTCGCTCCTCGTGGAGCAGCAGCAGCGACAACGCGAGATGTGCGGGTCTCCGGCACTCAGAGCCTCAACCGGTCGACTCGAAAGGCCGCAAACCGGCGGAGGAACAGTTCCAAGAAATGGAGGTGCCACCGACCGCACGCATACGAACGCTGTCACCAACCGCCCGCGGCCCACCGGCTACGCAGAAGCAGGCGGCCAGCATCTTTTTCCGCATGGGTATTCTGGACAATCTGAGCCTGAAAGACAGCTCCACAAGATGCGGAATTGGCATAATGTCTAATGGCTTAAAGGGTTGAACCCTCACTGATTGGTACAGCATAAGGTTCGAAAAGGAAAAAAGGCTAAGCCACCCAGTGGCCGAAGGTTCATGGCCCATAACGTTGAAAGCGAGTTGGCCGGTGAAACCAATCTGGATCAGCCAAGGCCAATAACGTGTGAAGACGATGAAAAGCCAACGTTCGAAAAACGAGATGCAGCATCATCTCGGGTGCCTAGTATACTATATTGCAAAAGATGATATATTTTGTACCCTGTAGTCCCTGTGCTTTTGCCATTCCCATGTGCTGCTTGTTGGAACCGTCGTGTGGTTGGTCGTATACGTGGTCGGTTCCTCGGGCCCCTTCCGGTGCTTCGGCTGTATGAAGTCGATATGAACTCCCGCCAAAGGGTTCTCTGAGGAAGGAACTTTGTCAGTCTTTACTTTGGTTCATTTCTCTTCCAGGCATCCAAGATTGGCTCCACATGGCCACTGGGAGGTCCTCTCTTGTAAAGCGATGACCAAGCTTTCCATGTAAATTCTGAACGGGGGCTCGCAGTTCCTCGTGCAACGGTCTGGTTTCCTCAGCGTCCTCTCGTCATCCTGTCATCCTTCAAATCGTGCTTGAAGATCTTGATCTGGAGTTCTTCAGTCGTGACCAACTGGGAGGACTCCCTATTTGAATACACACGCATGTATGAAGCACTGTCTAAGCTCATGCAAAACACAACAATCCGGGACCAAGAGAGGAGAGGATGATATGTCGCCCCGCAACCGTCGCGCATGCGTCCCTCGAAATCGCTGACCCGTCGGCCGTCAGCCACAGGGTGCCAGCAAAATCTGGACGTGAGCCTCCAACAGCACAACCGCCCCTATTGAAAAGCGCAGAGGAGCGACGACAGCACCGTGCAAGACAGCACTGGAATAAAAACAAGCAAAACATGAAATGGTGTCCAAACAATGTCAATCTCCTGGTTCTTCAAAGTAACCCTTTGAGATGTTGGGGGTTGAAGTCGCAAACAGACCGGACCTGTTTTTACAGGTCGCAAACCGACCGGAGCCTCGATTCGGTCGATGAAGGTTCTTGCTGATTTCGATCTGGATCCTTCAACCAGCCACCCTATATCTTCTCCGTTGAATCGAGTGCCGTTTTTGGATGAGTGCTTCAAACCGGGAGTTCTGTGATCAAGAAACGCTAGTAAGATGGGGATGAGAAATGGTGTTTCGTTAAGAGAGAAATTGTTCAATCTGTTAAAAGAGCCATTGTTGATCAGTACACCTCAGCATTGAATCCAACGATCCAGTCCGTTTCCACGGCGGACGCTCGTCGTCCTCAACATACATTGAGGGGAGTTGCCCACTGCCGTGCCGCATAGCGCAGCACCTTCCACGAGCGAAAGCTTGGGTTAATTACGAACGTATGGCCAGCGCCATGAGCATTTGTATCCTCGGCGAGATGGGACTCAGTTGAGATCATGGACTCCTCTGATTCAGAATGGCCGCGGAATCGGATCTCGCCGCAGAGGACAAGTATTTACAAAGAGCAGCATTTGTAGACTGCTCAGTTTCTGTGCAGGTCCAAAGGCACTAGGAGGGGGGGCAGTCTGCAATACTGCAACCCTCTTCGTCTTATAAAAGATTGTAAAAAAAAAAAAACATAAAGGCATATAAAAGAACATAAAACAACAATATAATACTATGTTAAAAGACTATAAGAGAATATATGTTATTATATGTTAGGATTGGCGGTGTTGAGAAAAAGAACTGCTGAATCATGGAATTCAAGCCGCCGTCTTCGCGAAGTGCAACGCATATTGATCGGAAACTACACAACTATCCACATAAGCTTAATGCCCCTGCCCCACGCGCAACCATCTATGGAAGCTTGCTGCCCCCCCCACCTCACCCTAAATACGACGAACATAGTTTCTGAATACGGCGAACTAGTTTCTGAATACGACGAAAATAGTTTCTGAATACAACGAAATAGTTTCTGAATACAGTGCAGTTTCTGAACCCGACTTTGTTCCACTAGGAGCGACGGCCGCGGCGCTGCTGATCCTGTGCACGCCACCTGCGAGCAGCGTAACGTGAGGGGCAAAACACGCAGCGTCATGTTTCCCTTAGACCTTTAGCCCCTAAAAGCGATGGCCTCCAACGTTGTAGCGATGGCCTCCCCTCCAAGCAGCGAGGCTTCACTGTATAAATTTGAGACTTGCTCCCCGATTCCAACCACATGGAAACCCAAAACCACGTCGGGTTGGTATTATCCATTCCAAAAATGGTCTTCCACTGGTCAATTCTCAGGTTCTATGTTGGTTTGCGGGGAGTATATACCTGTTTCATGCTGCGAAGCCAAGCGAACCCAAGGGGCTGACATATTCTGAGCCTTCAAAGAGGTGTTCAATGGGGTAATTAGTCCGTTGAAGACCCCTTAAGGAAGGTGCTGGTATGTAAATCTTGATGATGAATCAAACTCCCCCCTGAGGCAGAATGGCTCCAGCCGAATGGCTCGTGGAGCCTTACCTCCAGTCTGCCCCGTCCCACCTCCCGGGATGAAACGACTTCCACCCGTCTCCGTCTCTAACTTCCACCCGGAACCAACAAACCATTAAACGCTCTCACCCATCTACCGCGTTTTGACCGGATCACGCGAGGGATCACGCGAGGATCACGCGGCTGACAGCCCAACCCCCGGCCGTTTCGCGAAGCTCCCGGCCTTCCACGGCTCTTGATCATTTTTGCGGAGCCTCAAAGCGGGCCGGTCGGTGTTTTGGTGCTTCAGTCGAGTGCGAGTGCTTCGAAGGGGTCCAGTTGCGTCACCGGAACCAGAACCGGTGGCGTTTGATTGGTGGCTTAAAGGAGAACACAACAAAATAGACATAGAGTATAACACAGTGAATAACAACAACAAAAGCTATAAGTCATAATGCTGGTGAAATGTGATTGTAATTCTATCATTATGGTATTTTGATGTACTGTATTTTGCACAGTACAATCTGGCTCGATGTGATCATTCTTTCTTTCGCTACACACCCACCTAAACAATACACCCAACACCCACAAAACCGGGCGGCGGCGCCTCCGGACAGCTGACGCTGGGCCTCGCTCAAGGCCCACCCGGTGGCGATGCCCAAGACGCCCTCGATGGCCATGGCTCCGCCGCCTACGGAACGAGCGCGAGCGAGCTCAAGGGAGAAGCGAGGAACCGGCGGACTCTGCACGGACACGTGCGCAGAGGTGCCAGGTTGGGCCAGGTTGGTCCCTTTCGAAAGGAGCTCCGAAGAGGGCGGTTCCACCATGTTCCACCTGTGGGACTGGAGTGCGGAAATCCAAACAAACAATCTGAACATGTTAAAGGTGACCCACATTGACCCCGCTCTTCCTCATTCTTCCTTGGGTAGGTGTTCGGGTGGTCAAGCACGACAGAACCCGTGAAGTCCGACGGGTGAAGCACGATGATGACACGGACGTGACCGATTCATGGATCTCCTAATCTTATATAGACAGGGCTTTGACCCAGAGCAACGTGGGAAACTACCCAACACTCCAAAAACAAAGCCCAGTTGGGCAGCCCAAAAGGTTACAAAGGTCGGCCCCCATCTCAGTTTTTCCGCAAGGGCGCACCACCTGCACCTCTTGCCGTTCCAAGCCACGGAGAGTCTTCATGGCTGGGAGCAAGCCTTCCACCTGCAGCGCGTCGCAGCGCGCTCTGCGAGGATCGATTCTGGGGTCTGAGAGCAGACCTATATGATCCAGACCTACTGAGATCCACTCATGGACCTATGACATAGTTCAAGACTGTTCAAGATTCAAAAATATATCTATTGAAATCTGCGATTCTGACGACTTTGGTGGTCTGGAAAGACTGTGGTCATCTGGGAAGGTGAGCCCGCCTCTCCCTCTCTCTCTCTCTCTCTCTTCCCGGCACCAGGGGTCGATCGACCTCTGGTTTTCAGGAGTGGTGTTTGGACCCAGAAGCCGGAAGGGGATGCACCCGTTTGGTATTTGGATGTTCGAAGTTCATGATCATAAGGGGTCCTTGTTACCGGGGTCCTTGTTCCTTTTCAGTCCCTTTCATCCATGACACCCCACATCGAAGTGTACCACTACCACTCGAGGCAACCCCCTCTCTACCGGCTCTCCCAACAAAAACCCGGCTCTCCGTCGATTCCTTTTCGTCGTTCAGCACCTTGAGGATGGCTTTCACGAGGGTCTTGCGCTCATTGTCCTGGCATCGTGGCAGTCGTCGGCGGGAGGTGTTCACCTTCGGCCCTGTAGCACGCCTTGCCCCAGCTCAGGCCCTTCTCCAGGACGGCGCAGCCGTTGTGGTCCCCAGCAATGGGGACAATGTTCCTGGAGTGGCGTGGCGATGGAGGCGATGGAGGCGATGGAGCCGCCCTTGGGCCCCCTGGATGTTCCTCGCCCCCAACAGTGGAATGATGATGATCCATCATCTACCAGGACCTGCAAAATGACCTCTTTGGAGTCTCCAAGTGACCTCTTTGGGGACAAAGTGTCCTCATTCTAGTATCTCAAAAGGTCACTTTGAAGCTCCTGGTAATGGAATGACACTGAAGGATGTGTTCATCTCTTGTTGCCATGATGATCGAAGGATCTGGATGATTCTGATCCTTCGAAATGGTCATGCCGATCCATTACACCCAATTCAAGCGCCCAACCGCCTAAGGGCCCAAGGCACTGTGCAATGATCTCGATCAATGCCTTGCGGTAGCTTGTCGGGGAGTGTTCCTGCGGAGCAGACGAACAAGGAGAAGAAAGGATACAACGACCTGCCTCTTCTGAA